CCCCTGCATGGGTGCCCCGCAGGCAGGCAACAGGAGGGGTGAGGAGGTCAAGAGGCAGGAGAGAATGGGTGGAACAATGGAGACATGCAGGATAATCAGCTTTTATGAAGCGGAGAGGACACAGACAGAGAGAGACGGGAGACGCAGTTCTCACACAATGCAACTGACTACAAGCAGTAATGAATTAACACATTAGCACCACAACCAGGGGCGTTCAGGAGCGCTCAGCTGCTCTTAAACACAAATCCACACTGGCACATACTAACACCCACACACACACCAGTAATAAGTCATTAAACACACTCACTTATGAATTACATCAGTCATTTTGTTTCCGATGGTAGATCCCTCTGAAAACTATTACATGTGATCAGAAGCTAAAAATGTCTTGACAAAATCAGCAGAGAAACTTTTACTTAGCACTCCAAATGGATAAGACAAGGTTAGTCTCAAATGTGCAGCCCCACACACACATAAAGAAGAGATAATGCTTTAGAAATCATCTTGTCCAAATTTAAGCCATGTGTTCAATTATCATCAGCCCCAAATGATCCTCCATTAATGCTTTAACTCTTTCTCTCACATCTCAGTCGTAGCCATCCATCCGTCTTGTTTTTGCTCTCTGCTCTCCGTCCATCCCTATAATTCATGTCTGTGTGGTTACTTCTCTTCCTCTCCATCCCTCCCTCCCTGACTTTTAACCAGCGTGAAGAGGCAGCCATGCATTCAACCATCAGACAGGCTAACATGGTCCTCCCTCACACAAGGAGTCATGGCATACTGTTCTTCAAGTGTAACAAGAATGGGATGTTAACTGAAACAAATATCCACCATATCAGTTCATCTTTATGTGGTTATATGTGCATCCTGATACTGCTACATCACTAATTTGTATACAAAAAAGACACTGAAATTTGCTTTTCTGGTTGCTGTTTTTCCTCCATATAAAGATAAACAAAGGTGAGACTTTCATTTTTAAAAACAAGCTGCATTTCTCTTGTCATCAATCACTTGAATACTTTCCTCCAATAAAGAGAACCTTTTGTGATGACATCCTTCTTGTTTAGTCATTAAAATTCTTTGACATCTACCAGGCCACATATCTGACATTTCCAGTGACATTTTACAGGGATTATTAGCTTTTTAAGAGTCTAGCAGATAAGTACAGTGTCCGCACACAGTACAGAGTGGTGTAGTGACGACCCAGGGATGAGGACGGCCCTGACAGAGTCTCTGATGGGGGATCCCATTGCTCTCTTCTCATCCAACAATCCCACTGAGCATGTCAATATGAAACACTATACCTGTGCACTGGGGCCATTCTAAGCTATCCCTCCACTTATAGAAAAGACAGGCTTATATTGATAGGATGAGCCTATAAAATGCCGCAATGCTGTATGAAAAGACACAGTGCACGGTATTGAGAAAAGTGTGAAATAAACTAAATCAAGTCTCCCAGCGGTAAAACACATTTTCACTATATTGCACTCGATGTGAGTGTGATTTACTACACGATTTTTGTTGTATGTGGGTTGAGAGAAAGCGGGTCGTAAAGCTTTGTTTACCCAACTTTAAAAAATCCACAGCCTTGTAAATGTTGTTAGATGGCCGATGCCAGTGTCTTTCAGCTTAATACTAGCTATATTAAATAGTTTAAATATTTCATAAGGGCGGTTTTTAGAGCGAGGGAGGGGAAATCGTTAGCTGCGGTAAAGTTTCATTAACTGGTCCCCATTTCGCTGGGAGGCAAACTCATCTCCTCTTATTGTAATAAAACAATCTCTCTCGCTCTCTGTGCTGCTCTCCACTCATCTCCCTCTCTCCACCGCCTCTCTCCTTCTCTTTTACATCATAATAATACACTACATCCCCTTTAAATGCACTATTACTTACCGCTGCCTTTTCATATTGTAACATCACGGGCACTTTAGCGACAATATAAAAGCGTGTCATTCATTATTCAGAAGCAGCCGGCCTCGTCCCCCTTTTAAAAAGTCAGGCGCGCTGCTGAAATTGATAACGGCGAAGAGACGCGCAATAAAAACGCAGCCGCCGGGTACCGAGCTGCAGCCCAGACCCCCGATTATGCAGATCAAGTGGTAATTTCTCAAACAAATCGCACTCTTTCACTCTTTTGTTGTCGTTTCTTTTTGGACTTTTGAAATCAGGTTGTCAGGTTTTTATGTTGCCCGTGGAAAAAAAAAACGAGGATTAATGTGCATCTTAATTTTCCATGTGGGCTGTAGCTTTTCACAAACAGTAGCCTGTCCAGATATTTTGGACTAAACCAGATAACCTCTCACGGTCGCTCTTAGAAGGGGGCTGTGTTGGGTTTGTTTTTTTTATAAGTGGACTCTTGGCATCAGTTTTACCTTTTTGCCGTTTTTTGCTTGTAATCATGAAGCGATGAAAAGGCCCGATATTGTCTTCAATATTAACGCCATCAGTGAAATCATAAGGGCTGGGGCGTCTCCTGGTGGGGTTTTTTTTTTTTTTTTTTTTTTTTTGTTCCAGGGTGTTCAGGTTTGGGCGAGCTAATATGTCTTTATCAGTCATAATCACTGGATTACACCGGATTATAAACACCCAACATCTGCAACCAGTGGGACCCGTCTGCTCTGTGCGGTCTGGAGGGACTGCCTTCACTTTGAAGAGGAGTCAGGACAAACGCAACAATTATTAACTTTCAGAAAGCACTTATTCTACTGTGGTCTATTTATGAATCATCCTCAAAAATGCATTTGTTACAGGCCAATTAAATAAACGTATATATGAGGTTTTCCAGTCACAAATTCCGTCATAATTACTGTTGGGGAAATAATTTTTGCAAATGTCCTTAAGAGAAACAAAAATGTCCAAAGATGACAGCTATAACAGACCAATTCTCCCCCATCAAAAGCCACCGGTGAGCTCACATATGGCAGGGGGGCACTCATTCTGTCCATATTGCCAAACAAACACCTCGGGCCTTGTCCTGTCTCATATTGCTTCATAAGACTTTATTGTGAAATGCGCAAAGCGACTGCTTTTTTAAAATATATATTACCTACAACAGCATCTTTGCATTTCCGTTTGACTTTGTGGCGTATGGACAAACAAATGACAGGGTAACCATTTATGTTTCAAAAGATTTTACGCGTTTTGACATAATTCGGTTCAGACTGCATTTTCTTAAGCAACGGAGTGTGATTACGAAAACACTATTTGACGATTACAGTCCGCATGACATATGTGTGTGTGTGTGTGTATTTCTATATTTATAAGTACTTTATTTTTATTTTTCCTGTTTGCACACGCTTGTTGTTTTCTTGTTGTCTCAGACTTACCTTGTTTACTCATTGCTTTACATAACAACATTGTACGTATACATGATGAGCCACTGCACCAGAAACAAATTCCTCCTGTGTCCAACACACTTGGCCAATAAATCCGACTCTTATTCTGATTCCGATTGTTGCCAAGAACAGAAGATAGAGTCTATAAACTAAACTTTAGTCACTATAGGTCAGATTGGCCCAGATAAACGACGGTTAATGAAGAGGTTGAAGAGGTTTTACAAAATATTACAACTTCCACTGTCAGTAAATGAATGTGCTGGGTATTAGTTTGCTAAAGCGTTGTAATTTGATAGGTTAAAAAGCCACCTGCCGTATCCAAACCCAACACGCATTTATCTGTCCCAGAGACAAGTTAGTGAAAATGAGATTATCCGGTCACTTTGGGCGCCTGTTACATTGAATCTACGCGGTTAGCCCCTTCCAGAGCCCGGACACTTTATCTGAAGTAGCCCATGGCCTTCCCCTGTCAGGTCATTTAATGTGGCTGGCCACCAAGAACAAATAAGACCAAGTAAGGCTTTGCCAAGTTCAGTAGGTGCTGGTGACTCAATGCTAGTCTTCATTAATGTCCTTTTATTTTAAAGGGAGACGTGGTGGGTTTAATTTCATGAATTAATTAATTAATTTCACAGTTATATCCAAGGTTTTGTCACTATTATTCAAATTGATTTAGTTCACTACATGTCAATCTTAACAGCTGTTAGGAAAATATTTGTCAGTGATTTGACATTATATTTAGTATAAGTGGGCATCAGATCAACATAAATAAGAATATGACTGCGTTTGGTTAAGAAGTGTGAACATTAAATTCGACGCATTATGAATAGTGACATACATTTCTTAAATGTGATTTCACATTAAAAATCCAACATTTTTAAATAGATGGACAGATCGCTAGTGATGCAGCCGAATGTTGAAGAAATCTAAAAATATAAAACTAATTCTCTGCATTTGACTATAACACGTGGACGGTGTGAAGGCTTTAAATAAAAGAGAGTATATACTGAGGCTGGCATATCTTCCTTTTGGTCTTTTTTATAATATGTCGATGATAAATAGTCTTCAGATTAGAAAGTACCCCCTAATAGATTTCCCGTGAACCCATTATTCCCGTGCATTCCACATGTCAGATGGTAGAGACTGACGAGGTGACACAGACAGCAAAAGGACAAATGATGCTCACTCTGTGCGTAAAAAGACGTTTTTCCTAATGATATCATTTGCAACCAGAACATACAGTGTAGGGCCTTAGTGAACACATTTGTGGGGACGAGCGCAGCACTGACAGATGGCTGTCAACATAAAGTATTAGATGTAGTCAGCAAACAGAAGAACACTGGTCTTCAGTGATCCCTGGTGCGATTCTGTTACACATGCCATATAAATTTCCACGAAGCTGTCGCTTGCTCCACTCTCCATTATAATGATATAAATGGCAACATGAAATACTGACTCACTCAGAAGGCATGGATGGAGATGCCATATCTTGCCTTTGCTGTATGTAACAAGCTGACGCCCGTGATTATAGGAAACCTTGATTACTGTGCCAAATCGTGGGCCTACCCCCATTAACATTCAATCAGTCATTCTGGTGCCAGCCAATGAAAGGTGGAGAGGGATGGAGGAGGACGGAGCTGCTAGACGGAGCGTTTTGACGCGGTGAGAGGAGGACAGAGCGTCACATCTCTCCAAACGCCCATCAAACTTTCACCACAGCCTGTAGAGAGGACCCAGTCCTCTGAAAGGCCTGTTAGAGACATCAAGGACACGCTGGAGTCTGGACAGACCGCTCCATAACGATGGAGACACTACTGGCGATGACTTATGGTACAGTTTGACCCTGCTGTGAATCCCCCTGAAAACATCTTGTTCAGTGTTTTTCGTCCTTTTTGCGACAGAGCGACGGGACATGGAGCAAGCACCCAGCGCGCCGAGCCCTCCTCCCAAACCGGTCCATCACGAGCCCATCAGCTTCGGCATCGACCAAATCCTTGGAGGCGGTACAGAGCCAGAAAATGGGCGCACGGCTGGAAGGCAAAGTGGATCCGATTTAAGCAACGGGGACGGTTATTACAGTTTGGGAAGCCCGACCGGGGCCAGCGCCCCCTCATACACCGCGCTGTCTATATCTCTTTCTGGTATAATGCCTCCGGTGGAGGCTTCAGGTTCATACGGGGAAAGCAGGAGTCTGGGCAGCCGGGGAGTGATTCGAGTCCCTGCCCACAGACCCATGACAGCCCCGGGACCCCCAGCCTCCGTGCAGGGCACTGTCCCAGGGTTTGGAGGGTTGTGCTTCCCCTGGATAGGAAACAGGCTCGCTAAGGACAGAATATCAGGTAGGCAAGCTGTTAGACCTAATAGGCTCCTCTCATTCACATTTTATTATGTTTAAAGCGTCATTTAGAACGACAAACACCTGTGCTAAACATAAAGACTGTTTGACTTCAACTGAAATGTCTTTACTTTCATTGTTTAAATGGTTTAAACCGGCGCAATACATACAGCAGAATACAAGTCGTATTTTTAAACAATGGAGCCTCATTTACCGATGATTATTAAACCCGTTTTGTCTGCGTTACTCACTTCACTCATGTATTTAATTTCTACATCAAATCAATAAGCAAAACAAGTGTACAATAACACGGTTACTGGTATTATGCTTTGTTTGCAAACAACCCAACAGAAACCACATGACTGTAATTTATTACTGAACTGAAAATGTACTAATATGTTACTAGTAGATAAACTGAAGATACGTTTTTTTTTAAAGGCTATTGGGCTGTCAAATCATTTATTTAATACATTATGAAAAGGTAAGTTAACTATTATTTAAAATAATAAAGGGTGTAATATATTGTATGTATTTAACAAAATGGTGAAGAAAGTTGAGATGCAGAATAAACGGATTATAGTTTAAATTTTAAAAATCTGAATCATCACAAATGCAGCCACATTGTTTTACTCCAGAACAGTAGTTGTCCTTTAGCCAAGGCCTATAATTGTGAATGTAAAGAAAGCCACCAGGCCTGCTCTCCTCTCGGTAATTACCACTGCTCATGTGATCTGTTAAAGCCAAAACGACTTTAAGATGAGTATTTATTTATTTTTCATACGTGTGTTGTTTCCAATACTTTGGCCAGACTCATCTTTCACAATAAGTTTCATCTCACATATCTCACATGTGGCCTACACAGTCCAAATAGGGAACTGTTGTCAAACAGAACAGATATCTGTGATATATGGTCTTGAATTTCCATACAGAGCGGGGACTGAATTATTCTGTTTGATGCTGTTTGAAATCTCATCTTGCACCCACCGGTGTCTCTTTCGGTTCCCTGCAGCCGCGCTGGTGCCGTTCGCCGTTACGCGGAGGATAGGACACCCGTATCAGAACCGGACACCTCCTAAAAGGAAAAAGCCCCGCACCTCCTTCTCCAGGGTTCAGATCTGCGAACTGGAGAAGCGCTTCCACCGGCAGAAGTACCTGGCCAGCGCCGAGCGGGCAGCCCTAGCTAAGAGTCTGAAGATGACAGATGCACAGGTCAAAACCTGGTTTCAGAACCGCAGGACCAAGTGGAGGTCGGTATGAAAAGTCACATTGTCAATACTTACATTTGTATCTGTGTTTCATCACGTAACACCCTTTGTAAACCCGGACAACAGCCCTCTCCCACAAAGAGTTTCACAAGACGACCAAGTCAAAAATCAAACTTTCCCCGTTTAGCAGATGGCCCCGTGCGTAATCTCCTGTCAGGTGACCCCGTGGACACGGAACAAAAAGAAAAACTAAAGGAAGAACTATAAACATACACTGACAACTTTAATATTATTTTACTGCCACTTGTTTTTTCGCTCCAGTACAAATGTTTAGGTCTAATCCTTTATATGTGGGTACAGAACTCATTACTCTAAATTATTTAAAAAGTTATCCAAAACATAGCTTTTACACGGAGTCCAGTGTCTTTAGTTTTATTGTATTAATTTTTAATGCTTCGACAAATAGTTTCTTCATTGCATCACTCTGCATAAACACTTTTTTTTTAAATTTCTAATCAGTCAAACCAACTACAACATTGTTTTGCAGCCTATGTGAATTTTCACACCTTTCGAGCCTTTCTTTAATCCCTTTACGATTACATAACCTTACTTTTTATTTGCTCATTCTTAAGATATCCTCTGCTGTCGTCTTTCAGGAGACAGACGGCCGAGGAGAGGGAGGCGGAGCGTCAACAGGCCAATCGTCTCATCCTGCAGCTGCAGCAGTCCGCCCTCCAGAAGTCGCTCGGCGAATCAGCGGTGTCGGATCCACTGTGCGCCCACAACTCCTCCCTTTACGCCTTGCAGAACCTCCAACCCTGGGCCGAGGACAGGGAATAGAAACCAGCGGCTAAGGTGTAATCAACAAGCACCATCTATTATCCCTGGGAGGATAAATACATTAAATTAGGCCTACATGAGGACAGTGGGACCTGCTCTGATTCATGCAACTTAGAAGAAAAAAAAAATCCTGGACCACGAAAAGCTGCCACGGCCTTGTGGGCGGATGTGTGTGAACCTGGACCTGAAACGATGGTGAGTGACACTTGTCTTGAAGCAGAAACAGAACATTCTTGGACAAAATCTAACTGGGAACAGCGGGACTCAGCAAACAAATTCAAAAAGCAGCCGAAACAGAACCTGTCATTAAAATGTCTCGTCACCTCGTGATTGTCCTCAGCTGATTCTCCACAGGGAGATGCTGCATAACATGACTGGATGTTTTGTGAATGTGTTTTCTGTCAATGCAGCTCTCTCCAGGCAGGTCACTACATTTGTTAGACTTACTACACTTTAACTACACTTTAAAGGGTTGTTTGTCTTGTTTTTAAGGAAAGATAAACACACACACACACACACCATGCAAATAATGGCAAGGCCAACACCCCAATATTTAGGAACTTACATAAAATGTAAGTTTTATATTAATCTCCTCATGTGTTTTATCAAAATACAAAACAAACAACTTCACAAAAAATAAAGATAAAACTGATTCAGGTGTTTATTTTATTTATTTAGTTGTTCTGGTGCTTAAAACTTCTTCAAATCTCATTAATACATTCACCCACCTCATCGCCCATGCACTCCAGCCCAAGATGAATAAATACACAGTGATGCCCAAAATGTTACATTATAAGAAAAATGCTATTGTGAGTAGTCACAAAAGGAAATAGATGTCACAATTAACGGGCAGAAAAGTGAACAATATACGAAAGAGGCTGTAAGTTGGGTAATAAAAGGGGGTGATGCACGTTCAATGATGATGGTGGCGTTTATTCATATGCACATTATCATGCTTTATTTGTGGGCCGTGTCCTCTGGGATGAAGGCAAAAATGTACAACCCTTTTGTATTTTTATTGTATATGTGTAAATAACAATATAAAGTGTTCGCGTGGCTCCTTTTGCTCATGCTCCTTATGATGCACCATAAAAGTCATTTTAAGGTTTTAATACACAATAATTATAAGCTGTAAAAAAAAAAAAGTTATGGAGACAAGGCAAAAAAAATAGCAGCCAAGTTTATTGATAAATATAATGATTTTATACAATATTACAATACACATTATTTCATTCTGACAGTTTTAAGCTGTCTGTTTTTATGCCTGTCTATGTGTTCGTCTTCCTGTCTGTCACTTTATCTGGACATATATCTGGGTACATTTGAGATGAGCGGCAACACATCTCAGCAAGGATTTTTATTACACTATTGATAGCACAGTGAGTGGGCATGACAGTAAATCATTTATAAATCTGTATTTTTTTGTCCTGCTCAATCTTCAAAACAATGGCTCTTGTTTGAAACATGGCTTCCATTCCTTCAGAATCAGTGAAAAGGTCTTTACTTTCATCTTCTGTCTTATTCTCTCACATTTGTCCTCCTCTGCTCACTCACCCATCAGCCCTTCTTGTAACTCCTCTCTTCTGTCTCTCCCTCACAGTGAAATGTTGGTTGCTCTGAGTCGGTTTTGAAAAGACAGAGTTGACAACACAACTCTCCCTTCTGGTAGAAACAAGGTTAGTTTGGTGGACTGATTGTAGTGTCCACAAGATGAAGCTACATGCTAGAGTAAGTGACACTTTACGAACTAACATCAGGACGCCATACACACACTTAGACACATATACAGCCCTGTATCACCCTGCATCCGTATGCCAGTAAACCTATATTTAACAGTGAGTGTCAGGGAGAATAATTACATTTATGTCCAATTTGACAGAAGGACAGAAGGACAGACAGTCAGAATCCGAAACACACAGACGGACACAAATTATTCCAGGCAGCAAAAAAGCCACAAATACAACAGTAAAATATTTACAATCAAGACGTTACAACAGTGGCACACTGACTGACGCTACTGGAACACACACAGTAGGACTTTACAGGGCTTTTGGAGACTGTCACAAAGCTGTCACGAGACGTAACACCGTCACAAGCTGGCTGAGGCCACATCCAGCTCTGTAAAACCTTCACAAGCCTGTCGATGGCTGAAAACAGATGAGGCGGCTCTGTGATCTGCTACACAAAGACCCGACTTCCCAGATATAACACCTTAGCAAGAGAATGAGTACATTGCCACAAAATGTTTTATGGCACAGACGCTCAACAGGCCTCTACCTCACATGCTTCACAATATTGTTCATGTTGGCTGTATTGACAGAGAAATTAAAAACGAAAACTACTATTATTTAAGCCTCTAATGTACAATGTATGCATTTGGTTGATCTCACTGCTGGTTAAACTGACATATTTCACAAACATATTTGACCGAATGTGGAAGAATCAGTATTTACACAGTGGCATGAAGTACAGTACGCATCATCCATGATGGGAGCAACTGTAAAGCAGCAACAGATGAGGAAGATGGAGATGAGGCAAATGGTCACACAGAGGCCAAATGAAGGGCTTAAGTCTGAAGGACATTTTCCAAAACCAGTGGCAGTTTGTCACCATGAATTTGTTATAGCAAGACATGTTTTATGAAGTTTTTTGGCAAACTTCACACAAAAAAGGACAAGCTCTTTCTTTTGTTTTAGTTGCAAGCTCTGCTGTTCTCTTACATCTTCACGTCTCCCTCTCCTCCATCGCTTTCTGCTTTGTTTTTTCTCTTCTCTTGCTTTGTGGTCTCATCTGTTGCACCGTGTCCCTTGTGTTTGTTGTCTAGATGACATTTTCAAAGAGCTCTAGAGAGCGCATGATGTTTTCATCCTGTGCAAAGAAGATAGGAAATTAAAAAGTTGACCGTGAGGAGAAAATCATCCAACAGCCAACATTTAATTCAGTTAAATGGCCACCAGGGGGCAGTAAAAGCCTTTACAATGTTAGGGTTCTCTCTGCAGATAAACACACTGATATAAAAGGTAGCAAAGACCAAAATTAATTGCCAGTGTAGGGAGTCTTGCAAAGGAGAGTGATACGCAATGGATCTGATACTTTTGTAAATAGTGCAAATGTACACGAACAGCAAATATTTTAATTTGTCACCTCAGGAAATGTCCAGGTGTTACAAAAGACATTATTGATGACTCTGTTATATCCATCCATCTATTATCTATACCGTTTATTCTATACCATCGTGGGGACACTGGGGTCCACCCTGCACAGGTCGCCAGTCTATCACAGGGCTGACATGTAGACAAACAACCACATACACTTACTCAATTTAGATTCACCAGTCAACCTAAGCTGCATGTCTTTGGATTGTGGGAGGAAGCCAGAGTACCCCGAGAGAACCCACGCAGGCACAGGGAGAACATGCAAACTCCACACAGAAAGGCCCTGGGCTGGCCCGGGCTCGAACCCAGTGGCTCTGTTATATGGATTAATTAATTGTATTATTTCCACCTGTGCATTTCCTGCTGTTACATGTCAAAATATCTTTGAAGAAACAAAAGTCCTATTGCATCCTTGAGATTCTGTAAGAGACTAGAGAATTCGGTACCTCTTGGCAAGACAGGATGAATTCATCAAGAGTGACCACTCCATCCCTGTTTTTGTCCATTTTCTGTAGAAAGAAACATTAATGCATAAAGCCAAGTGTGGAAGGAACAGTATTAAGATACTACTTAATGACTAGGTAGGTCCCCACCCATGCACACTTTCATTGCTGTGGTGTTTTTGCATTGCACTTCATAAAGATGATCAGCCAGTTACTGTATACACCACTGTGATGTCTGTTCTTATTTGTTTGTTTTTGGTGCATTTTTTGTCTTTCATTTGCTGCCAAGGGACCATCAGTACTAATGCTAACAATTAATTATTTCTCTTTTGCTGCTTCCAAAACTAGAAATCATGCAGCTCCCTGTTGCAGGATTTTTATCTTGCATAAAATAATAGATTGAGATGTTTTTACCTGAAAGAAAGCATCCACATGCTGTTTGGGTGCATCAGTTTTCAAGACAGGGTAAGTGTACTTCCCCATCATGTCATAAATAGCTCGGACGATGTCTGTCATTTCCTGTGAGATGGAACAGAGATGGACACAAGCTCAGACACCGTGGTTAATATAAACCCAAATACAGTGGGTACATCCACATAACACAGTTGCACAAAAACACACACATCTTTACTTATGTATCCATCTCTGTTGATATCATAGAGGTTAAACGTCCACTGAAGTTTCTCTGTGACAGAGCCCTTCAACAGAATAGACAGAGCTGCTACAAATTCCTGATGGAGACAGAAAGAGAGACAGAATGACAAACTGAAAAAGGTAGAGGCTGTTTGGAAGCAAGAGACCAGAATATAATTTGAATTAGACCTCTTCAAAACATGAGCATCAGTGTGGAAGTGAGCGACTAAAACAGACCTCAAACTTTATGGATCCTGAATGTGCTGTGTCAAATGCGTTGAACAGATAGTGCGCGTAGGTGCTGGCGTCTGCAGGAGAAGAGAAAAACGCTGGGTAGAAAGAACACAGAGACAAAGATAGATACGCACACGCATGCTCTCTCTCTTTACCTCCATGTGGAAAGAACTGGGAGTATATTTGCTTAAAGGTTTCCTCATTTACGATACCACTGGGACACTCCTGGAAACAGACAGCGAGACAAAAAAAAAGAAACAGAGATTTAAATGAGACAGAGAACCCCCAGGGGCTGTTTAAACCATAGTGGACAGAAAGAATTGAAGGAACATGCAAAGTTTATGGGCGAGTGAGTATTTGATAAACCGCTATGTGATTACTTTTTAATAGTCAAATATTACATGTTAAATTTTACCAGTCTGTAGCAGATATATGGAGATATATTCAACAGACTGCTTTGCCCAGGGCGTCACTAGTGAGTCTAGTTGTTACATTGAGCTTTAACTTAGCTGAGAATTGGCAGAACAGACACCAAAGTTATCTATGTGTCCTTGTGAGATCTGTAACATACATAATTAACATACACAAATGCATTAGAATACTTTAGCATGTATGAGAGCTGAAAAGTAAGAAAGACAGGAGTGTTACTGCAAACAAGAGTGACACTGAAATGGACACCAGTACAACTAAACACACTAACACAGGTGACACCTAATAGTAGCCTCATGGCCATGTAGAGCTCTCCACCAAATTTATTTGGCCTCACAGTGAAATCTGAATATTTTTCCACTGTAGGACACATCAAACCTTTACAGAATGTTTTTAAAAATATGCCGGAATTACAATATAGCAATAAAAATCCATAAAGTCATCGTTAATCCCAATGAAAATGGCCTTAATGTACCCTTTAACCAGAGCCTTTCACTGGAGGGACATACTTGTACAATGATACAAGGTCCCAGTGCAGAAATTAAGTCTAATAGATCTACCAGAAAAATCAGATAACTAGTAAAAATGTTCTTTTATTAATCTTACATGCTTATTAAAGTGCTATTTAGATCAATGGAGTTATATGATTTTACAGAAGCATTGGTTTCATTGCAAAAAAGTCTCTTATTTGTTCATTTTACTTGTAGAGTTGATAGATTTTACGCAGATGGTTGCTTTAGTATTTATTGGATTTATATCATCTACAGTACCTGGTGTGGGGATTTGTACAGGAGAAAAGTTTTCCTTCTGAGCAGGTAAATCAAGAGATTGGCTTAAACAAATAAAATATACTTCCCCCAAGACTTCTGAATACATTTGAATATGATTGTATTTATTTGGAATAAAAATATTTCTCAAACAGCTTGGATCCTTCAGTGTCATCTGACTTGTGCAGTAACTCAGGTTAGACAAATAGCAATCCCAGGATGCTGTAAGGGTCCATCTTATGTGACTATTAGAGCAAGCAATATACTCAGCATCTCTATGTATCTATGAGGACAACACATCTAGCAGAAAAGCAAAACTTGCTCTTGTGTTTTTGCAGTGCACCCAAACGGTCACTCACATTCTTAAAGCCCCTGTAGAGCACCTGTAGCTCCCCTTTGCTGAAGTTGGTTTGAGCTTCTAGCTGGTTGAGGCCCTCCGGTCGATGGCTCGCCATGGTCATTTCCATGTCATCATCAGCTGTATCTAAAGAAACAAACACAATATTATTTAACTTGAATTTATACCTGATCTACAAAGACTGAGAAAGCAGATGTAAAGATGAAGAACCTGGCTTTATAAACTAAAGGAAAGTTTGAATTATAGTGAAGTCTTTCTGAAAATGTAGTGCAAAGAATATACAAACTACTGTATAACAAAAAAATAAATAATAAAGAGATGGAGCAAAGAGGATGATTGATGGAGGTGCAGAGAGGTAGAGGTCAGTCTAATGTCTCCACTGACCCTCTCATTAACAACTCATTATTCTCCTCGCTGGAGGGAAGGGGAGAGAGGACAAGCAACTGACTCTGGGACAAGACATACACACACTGTGTTTCCACCACTTCAGGGGACATTATATTGACTTACATTCATTTCCTGGAGACATACTCTAATCTTCAACCAAATCACTCTTAAATGTAATGATTTATGTTTTGGGGACTCACTTTTTGTCGCTATAAGGACGTCAAGTCCCCGCAGTGTGAATGTGTGAACAGGTTTACATCCTCACAACATGCTGCACACATACATAAATTGCAGATTGGTGGCATGATGATGACATAAAGGCAAGACACTTTCACTTTTTCACTCTTTTTCTTGCAGATTTGCTTGAGGTCACATTCCCCAGAACAATCTACAATGTAATAATTACGCACGCTGTAATAACTGTGCATAATTTAACAGAAAGAGTCATAAAAATTCAGAACAAGATGAAGTGCTCATAATGTGCAGTGGTAAAATCCTGGACCAAAGAAAGAACTTACAAAAAGTTACTGGATGCCATGTTTTATCAAGGCTATTTCAGAATGTGTGACTGTCTATCACTGACCTGTCTTAGCCTGTTCAGCTGTTTGTCAGGTGCCACTTTCGGATGGAGCATATCAGGAAAACCTATTCATCTTACCTGGCTTTATTATGCTTTTTTTTTTATTACACAAATTATGGTCATCACACAAGTCCATAAAACTGTCAGTGTCTCATTTACTGCTTACTTCTAATTCTTAAACTGATTGTTGCACTGTCATCAGATGACCTGAGCAGGAAGCGGTTTGAACGGGAGTTGGTACAGTTGGAGTGTCCAGGACAAACACTCTTGTTCTGTTTTAATTGAGTGTCTCCGAGTGCAGTGGTCATTCTGACCTTGGAAATCCAGATTTTGAAACATCAACAGTTTTGAAATAGAAACATTTTTATCTGTGTGGAGAGACTATTAGTGCTTTGTGAAGCTTCATTACACCAACACCTTTTTCATTTCTATTATATCAGTGAATCACAGGGTCCAGGTCAGCATTTTAACTGCACTCACACCTACTGTGAATTAAACCTCAGTCAACAGTCTAACCTGGTCAGATTCAGTATCCGGTGATGCCACTTACAGAAGTGCTGCCCTCAAAGTTTATATGATTAAAGTGGGTTAGAATTCAAGCATCGCTTTAAACAGCTCATCTGACCTGGTCCCTCAGGTGTGACACTGTGGCGTCATTGTACACAACAATACAATTATATTACAAAACAAACTACAAGTAATTTCAGTTTATTTTATTCATCATAAAAGCATTATTAAAAAATGACTTTGTATCTCTGTTTGTACAGCTCCTTTCCCGTCCCTCACCCTGTTTACCACACACATATATACACATACAAAAACACAGCCATTCATCACGCAGGCAGTCAGTCTTTTTCAGTGTCACATTAAGGTGGACTTATACCCAAGGTGAGCATTTACACCCAGTTCCTGTTGGTCCTCAGGTACAGTATACGGCAAAGTCACATGCACAGCACACACACAAACCAAAAAAACTACAAAGAACAAAAAGTGATGCGCATACTCTTGTCCTATTGCTTTGGTTTGACATTCTTATACCCCACGCTGTACATGATTTACGCACCTATAAAGTTAAAGAATATGCACTTCCTCTGGATGTCTTCACTTCAGCCCCTTTGTCCATGATAGCACCTTGAATCCACCTGCACACTGTACTGTGGCAAGTCATGCATAGAGTAAAAACTAACACAGCACATCTCAAAGAGCAGCATACAGTAATGCCTCTTAGAGGAGAAATCAAAACTGACACCTTACCATTTGAATTTTGGAGCAGTATGTTTTACAGGATGTCAAACAGGATGCATTATGAAGGTGTTGTGACATAATTCAAATGTGGTAACATATAAAACAAGACTGGTTATTAAGTAAAGCAATATTTTTATTTGTTGATAACTGATGAATAACAAATGGTCATAAGTAAAAAGTCACAAATGATATACTGTACTGTTAGTCCTCTTCAGTAAGCAATAGAAAATCATTAGTAGAAGAATTTAAGAGTGCATATCTCCACCACTGCAGACCTGAACAGCCTGCAGCATCTAACAAGTAACATTTGTTCACTGTTTGTTTATTTATGGCTTATTCCAAGACAAGAGCAGGTGGACGTGTTAGATTCCCATGTTTCTTAAATAATCCACATCTTTTTTTTTTTCACACAGACAGTAGTTAAACAAACTTCTTCCAACTTTGCTGGATTACTCGGATACAGCAGTAGTTGCAGTACTGACTCACCCTCCACAGTGATGACTCCCAGTAGGTGCAGCATTTTGATGGCCCCACAGCACAGCAGAATAATGGCTAAAGTATGTAAGCTGTTCTCACTCTGCTCTTCTCCTTCCATTTTTCTCTTTCCCCTGGACTTGTTTTTTAATCTAGTAGCTTTCTGTCTCCAAAACAAATGTATTCTAAATGGCTATGGGTTTTTACCATGTAAGACTGGACTGACTTCAGCAGGCTATTACCTCTGTATGCGTCTCTCCTGCGCCTATAAACTTTCTGTCCATCCTGCGTTCTCCTTCAGTGAGATCAGCAGTCACATGCCTCTCGCTACTGCTGTCGTTTTATCCCCCCGTCTCTCTTCTCCCTGGGGCATCTCCCTCACTCGTCCCGACCTTCCCCCCATCCCGTTACCCCACTCCACCCCCTCCACCGCCATGCCACCAACCAACTTTACAGCCATTATGTCCTTCACTCCTTGGGAAGCAGGCCTCAACTTAAGGCTCCGTCCTGAGTGTACTGTACCAATGATAAACTCACCTTCTGCTGTACAACGTATGACTCTGGGTGTCTGTTCTGTTTGTGACTGTACGTGAGTGTGTGTGTGTGTTCATGAGCACATCATCACTTGAATAACTGTTCCCATTAAGACACACAGATATCTATAAACAATGGAAGTTTTAGATTTACCACAAAGTAACTTTAGCAGCTAAACATGCCTATAGGTTCTTTTATATGGCTTGCTCTATAATATACATGACACTGTATCTAAACTAGGATACACTCAGTTAAATAACAGCGTCCATCCAATCTCTCTAACCTGAATGTACCAGCAGGGGGCAACAGAAACTAACACAGAGACTATCAGTGGGTGTCAAAGCATCTAATAAAGATTTGTTGTATATTTCATAAGGTGTGTTAGTTACAATTTAGCTGGTGTGTTTAGGCATATATTGATAGTGCTATGAAAAGCAGGACAAAACGTCTTCCTTGTTAAATAAAATGTGCTCTGCTTTTCAAATATACAGCATGCATGGTAATAAAACACAATGCAATACACATGGTGCATTTTTAAGGTATCTGTCTACTCTGGCTGGTAGGTTTTCATTCATAGTCTTGAAGTAAATGCAAAAAGGAGCTGTGATTGCCCAGTGAGCTGAATTGTAGTCACTGACTTGCAGACTGCAGGGGGCTCTGCTGTGTCAAAAGGTTTCCCACAGAGCTGTCAGTTGAAGGTTTGCCTTATTTACTGTTGTGGAATTAAAGCAGCACATCTGGGTACAATAAGATGTAGTGGCAAGAGTAGCATTTCATTTTATTTGCTAGACATTTAAAAGATGCCTAATAGTGTAAACATTACTCAGTAAGGATCATGACTGTGTACACCAATCAGCCATAACATTATGACTGGGATTAGGGGAACATGTGATCTTGCCATTCCTACATTTAAAGGAAATGGCTGGCAATATGAATATCCTCAGTATCAACAAACCAACCAAGAACTGATCTGACTAAACGTATTGCCTTTGTGATCGCTATAGAGTAAGAAATACTGTATTTTATTCTAATGTTCTGTAGCCGTCGTTTGCTTTAATAGTACTATTCATTACACTCAACATGAGTAGTGTAGTTTATCCCACATACACTGTCCTGCTGCTGCAAATACTGTAAATGTATATTAAGCCACAGCAAAAAAAAAAAAAATTGTCCTTCAAATGTAGCACTTGCTCTTGCTTGATAACATATTCTACAACCTGCAGTGCACAGCTGTGCTTAGAAAATGACCGAGCTATTTAAGAAAGAATGATAAGGTTTCTGAGTCATTCCTCCAGCAGGACAAATGCACTTAGCTGAGTGCAACCGAGAAGATAGGGAAGGTGGAGGAACATGTAGTCAGTCTTGGTCTTTTCATGGGCTTTTGTAGCAAAAAGAAGATATATATATATATAACAGCCATATCCTCCAGCTAAGCCTTGACTTTTTAAAGAGAAACATAAGCAGCAGCCTCTTCAAAAAGAGGTTCTTACTTAGGGGCCTCCTGACCCACTGGGACATTGTGCCTGAGCCTGTTAAGCCCTCTAGTAATCCATTCGTGCAGACTGGGGAGTTGATGATACTGTCCTGCAGGCCTGACTGCCAAAAGATTGCTTTTTGTTTTGTTTTGTATTTAAATGAATAATTTAGATGCAGCATTTGAGGGTTGTTTAGATTAATACAGGCTATTGTAAGCAAAGGTCTACATGCACGCTATTGTAAAGGGAGTGAACAACATAAGCTCTGAGACTTTACTATGAAAAGTAGTGTTTATTTTTATCTATAGTAAAAAGCTTACCTTTACAAAGTTTTTATTGCTAACATGCGGGCTCTAGAAAACTACATGATTCATGTTCCAGAACTGAATTTGCAAACTTAGCAGGTTAGGTAAAATAAATAAAGCCAACCC